GTGATCACAGACCACATATTTCACACGACCTGATTTAGTCTGGGTAAGTACCAGCTTTGCATGAACTTTTAGAAAATTATTATTTCTATTCATTTGATAATGATAAATATGACTAAGATTTATTACAAGATAAAGTGTACAGTCCAGTATTGTTTATTGCACCTAATTATTTTAATGCTAAGGGTGGACTGGAGGCAAAAGCATTCTCTCAACACAGCCTTTCACCTTCACTGTAGCACTGAGCAAGTCGGTGAAGAATGCATTTATACTGCAGAGGATTCATAAATATTGGATGTGGCCCGTGTCTTCCTGTGACTGCCGGTCGGATTGCTTGCCTTCCTACTGACAGAGGTGAGTGCAGGTTGTCTGGCCTATTTACCACCTGTTATGTACATTATGACTATATCCGCTGCAGTAAGGCAAGTGCTGGGATTCCATGCTGTATGTGGAAACAAGCAGTGAGGAGAAATAATGAGGGAGAGACATGCAGCAGAAAGAATGTTGGGCTGTTAATCGCTATAAGGATGGTGATTGATTTGAAAACATGTCTGCAGTGAGGTGTTCACACACAGTGATGGATTACAGAAAATAACGCCCATCTTTATATTTCTTATATAGAGCAGTATAATTGTTGTTCATGCTACAATTTCTGTTAAAAAGGTTACATTTTTATTTAGAACTGTAAATTTTCTGGACACAGTAACCGTTGACATTTCTGCACCTGCTCTGTTCAGACTATTGTAACAGGCAGTTCCGTAACAGGCCTGTGTGAAAACAGGCTGACCAAACTAAGTCTCACAAGGACTGTCAAATTAACTTTAAAGTCAAAGTTAAAGTTAACTTTGTAATTTATTCGGAACGTGACATACATTCAGGGGAGACAAACATAACCTCAGGGGCAGAGAAACAAGAAAATCAGCAGGTTGTTTTTTTTTAATTATTATTGTGGAGGACGGTTGATTTCTCTTTGTTCGCTATTTGAGTGGCAGTTCATTATGTTGAGCAGGAGTTGGTGATTCAGCGTGCTGGAGATGAGATATGGAGTACATTATTCAGGCAGAGGGGAATGAGTGTAGTACGCCAAGTGTTCCTCTCATCCTGAGGGAATGGCTTTGTTTTGCCAGTGTGAGATGAATACGTTTGTTGTAGCAAAGCCAGTTGGATCAGGTAAAGAAGTGGAGAGAGAAAAACTGAAGATATACTGAAATGTGCTGCAGCCGTGGAAGTCACAGCACTGTTTCACATCCCTGTTAGAGCAGACACACTGAGGTACTGGAAGAGGTTCAGTTTTGTGTATAAATGCAAAAAAAAAAAAAAGGGGGGGGGGGGGGGTATCCAGAGAGTACTTTGTAGTTCATAAATTGCCCCTTGACTTTTAACATGTAGGTCAAATTGTTGCCTTTATTTGTTGAATGATAACAATGTTTAACAATGGTTACAAATTTAATAAGTAGAAAACCAAAAAAAAAACAAAATAGTGGTGAAAGTTGGCCAAAGTAGTCGAAAGACTTAACCTGAGTGATTTAAGGCTGAATAATAATAAAATAATGACATGATGAATAACAAATAAAAGAAAGACTTGCTGTAGCTCCTGCTTTACTGGCGAGAACTTGTTTGGCACAATATTCTGATAATACTCCTATATTACAAAGTTAGACACAAGTAAGACACCTACAGTTTTTAACAAAAGCACTGGTTATTTGGCAGACGTAAGACCAACATTTCTGCAGAGAACACCAGGCTGTTAGCCTCAGTTTATCAGAATCTCATATCGAAATTGGTAGAGACACTTGGCAGAAGAAATCTTTCACTGACATTTGTTAAATCTTTAGGGATAACTGCATTTTTAACAAGGCAGAATTATGACATTCTCAAGACACTAGGGCAGGGATGGAGAATTTTTGTCAGTTTCGTAAAGAAAAAACCTACATAGACCGAACATCACCACCACCAAAAAATAATAATAATGAAAAAAATCTATAAAGCCTTCCTGGAACGCTGTACACAACAGCAAACCATCAATGTTCTTTCCTTTTTCTTATTCATAGTTTGTGTGTAGTTGTGCGGTTACCTGGAATAATGCAGTAAAGTTAAGGGCAGCTTTCCTTGTCTGATTTATGTAAATCCTGCAGAGACACAGATGATAAACCAGTGCAGAATTGAAAACTTTTGGAGTTGAAATATCAAGTGAAAACTTCACCTCCAGGGTGTTGACATTGACATGTGTTAAATGTCCGATCAGAACATTTTACACAACTCAAAATCAATCCACGGTCTAATCATTAGTTGAACTTCTCAAAGTGCATTCGTGAACACGTGGCATGTGGCTGTGTCTTCACGGGCGCCTGTGGGCAGAAACATGTACGTCATTTCTACTGAATGTGTTGTTGTTCATCCAGTGTGACGATGACAGATGGCTCTGTTAGTGTCCTCTTCTGTTTAAGAGAGACACAGAGAAGGGGACAGACGTCAGATCACCCAGTCATTAAGGATCAATAATCAACAATGATACAGTAGAAGAGTTTTTTGTTCTCTAATAAACAACTGACATTTAACACAACAATAGCCTATAAACTGGTACCTCAGCTGTGCTGCACCTCCAACTGGTGAAGCAGTGAAATGTGTGAAGCTATTTGTGGTGGATGTTATCAGTGTTCTTTTCTCCGTGTGTCTTCGCCGTCTTTTCTGTCCGTCCCCGGTGCTGTGATGTGCTGCTGGTGCAGATAAGCCGAGGTGTGAGACACTCTCCTGCTCGGGCTAATCTGTGGAGAATGGAGCTGCTGCTTTTTCTGTGCCAACCCTCAGAGGCTCGCGGGGAGGAGGATGGAACAGGGACAAACAGCAGCAAACTCAGTTTGGATCCTGGTTCCTTTGCTGAGATCAAGTGTGTGTGTGACACCGGAGCAGCAGGAGAACATTTAGTCCTAACTTTCACCAGTTTCTGATTTTCAATTTCTGTTGTTTTCAAATAGCTGAAACTTTCTTGAGCTCAAGTCTATGACTGGTGTCCAACTGATGAAATAGGAAATGATCTCTGAATCTGTGCACAACACAAAGATGTAAAAGAGAAGCAGCAGAGGAAGAGAGTTCTGTGTGAGCCACAGCAGCAGCAGACCTTTTGTGGGAGTTTTCGGCATCAGCCATGTCATAAATTCACTTGTGTTTGCCTCTGCTCGCCAAGTTCAAGGAGGCATCAATAATTCCTGGTAGCTGCATGTAGGACTACCGGCTTTGAAAAGTAGATCATGGAGAGAGGCATGGTTAGAAAAAATAAAGATAAATAAGGCTGTCGTTGTGTATTTAAAGTTACTCCATGAAGTCATTCTGTAGCAAATATTTTCTCTAGCAACTCTGAGTGGCAGAGTGTTATGAAGATAGAATTACAGTTCATTAGTTTTTATCTGTGAGTGAACCAGAATTTTTGCATGTGCTTCTTTGAAAGGAGGACCAGACGTGTTCTTTCCTACTGTTTAGACAGAAGAATCGGGTTCATAACTGTTTATGACCCAAACACGTGTTCTGTACTTTGGCTAAATAACACCGTCTTATACAAGTGTTAGTAACTGTGATGGAGACAGGTTCAATGATCTAAAAGACATGGACCATAAGGACCACACTGTCAGCTGAGCCTTTTATTATTGTAGTGAATATGAAAACTGTAAAGAAGATAAGAGAGACAGAGGCGGAAGCTGAGACTGGGTGGGGGTGGGGAGGAGGGGAAGTAGCAGGGGAGAGAGAGCGCGAGAGAGAGAGTGATGAAGCCTGTGCTGTGATAACGATAATGAGTTACAGCGTTCACAGGTACACACAGTACTCGCATATATCGCAGCTACATCAGCTCAGTGTACTGTAGTGACAGATAATGATCTCACTCTGGATCTCATATCCACGCACTCTCAAAGGGCAGTAGTGTGTCTGTGAGTGTGCGACTGTGTGTGCGCGCGTTTGTTTGTGAGTGCATGACACACACCACGCCCTCGGGATTTGCATCTGCTCTTTTTGCACTGCTTGAGTGTGGCCATATGAAGGACAGAGTTACTGATTGGTCAGCAGGTGGAGGAAAGAGAGAGGAGATAAGAGAAGGTGGCGTCGGTGGGTGGAGGTTGGCGGTGGCGCTGGTGGTGGTGGCGGTGGAGCAGCGGCTCCAGGAAAGGCAGACAGCCTGAGTTAATAAAATGAACTGTTCCATGGTAATAAACCGAGTCCAGAGATGAGCAGAGAGGAAATGAGGGGAGTGTGAGGATGTCAAACGACGTGAGCGATGAAGAAGCCCACGTGGGCCTGTATTACAGAAGCCTATTATTCCCTTGTCTCTTTTGGCAATAGGTGTAATGAGGCAGTCAGCGGAGCCCAAATGAAGCCTTTCCTATCTCACACTCCAAAGTTTAAAAGTAAGATTATTTTATTACATGGACTGCAGTACAGAGAGATGTTTTTCCTTTACAATTGTATAATACCATAACTGTCAAGGAATACTGAGTACAACTCATTGTAATGTAATTTGATAAATACTAAGTATTTTTTGTCAAATTAAGGGAACTAGAACTAGACATCATCAGTCGGCTTTCATCAGACCACAACTTCTGCCGTAAACTCAAATTCAGAAGAGGCTTCTTATTTTTCAAATTGATTTTAAGAAAGTAAAAAGACAAAAGTGGAAATATTCAATTTTATAATGACATTTTTTCTTAGCTTTTGAACTCGTTACATTGATTTATTAGACAGAATGAATCTCTACTATATGTCTGTCCACCATCCTCAACACTGTGGCAATTATCAGGCTGCGTCCCACCTCTAGGGCCACACAAATTGGAAAGATGCTTGTTATGAGTATCCAAGTATTGGTTCATCCCAGGGGAAACCTTTTCAAACTAGAATGCACAGTGGATGAGACTACACCACCACTTATTACATATCCACAAAATACCCCCAGACGTGGGACGCTGCTGTGGGTGGGATTAAAAAAATAGGAGAGAAGACTAGAAAGTTAGACACGTTTTAAAAGTATATCTTAATATAAACATTTTATTCAGTGCATTTTTGTGTATACAACAAATAATAAACAACTGGAAGTTATCAGACAGCCACGGGGTCTGTCTGCATATGTTGTTTTGTTAGGTTTAGCCTGGTAGTTTGGAACACATGATCCAACATGGGTTAATACACATAGCCTACATCATGCAGCTCTAGACCAGAAATGTTCCTGCTTTCTCCCATGCAACAGATAGGTTCACCAAATACAAACCACCTCCAGAGGAAACCAAAGAAAGAAAAGCCTTCCAAAAGCATGTACCAGAAACAAGTTGTATAGCTGGAGGGAAGGGTACGTAGCCCACAAAAAGGGTCCTTTTGTACACCATTGTGTTTGTACATGCCCTGTGCCAGAAAGGGAAGAAGTTTATTTATTTTTTTCACTTTTACAAATATGACTCCCTAGAAAATGTTAAGCCACCTAAAAGTCCACAGTATTTTTTTTAATATACAAAATATTGTCACCACAATAAGTTACTCAAACACATAAAAAGCATCCTGGGAAGGGGCTTCTTGTATCAGTCAATAAATGGTGACAAAACGAGGATGGGGCGTTGAAGCATGACACAAGTACAGAGGGAAAACAGACCACCAGGACAAAAGACGGAGACGCTGTAAACACAGTAGGGAAACAGAATAATCATCTCAGACCTTAGCCTTGAAGCACACCAGCAAAAAGTACAACATCAAGCACACTGCCAACTGTAACGTGTGTCAAACCACTTCCTTTGTCCATTGAGCCTTTTTGACCCACATTTATTTTTTTGTTTGCTTAATTTCAACAAAAATCAAAATCTTTCTGGCTTTGCCTTTATCCCGACTTAGTATTCAGTGGCTTAAAGGGACACTCTGACATTCTGTCTTTGGTTTGCTGGAACCTCTTTCAATGATTTAACAGCAACAGGAACACAAATACTGAACCATGGCCAGGGAAGAGAACAAGAGGGGTCGAAACGAAAAACCAGTTTTCAAACATAAACCTCAGCTAAATTAGAAAATTAGCAAAAAAAAAACAAGCTGCAGCTGTGGCATCTTTGAACAAAAACAACAAGAGATCCACGCTGTGCCTTTTTCATATGTCAGGTCTGCTGAACATAGGCTTCATTTTCCCATGCTTAGAGAGCTCAGTCTCTGAGCGTGTGCACTAGGATGCAGAAGAGAGCTACCGTCTGGCTGGACACAGTCCCACTGACTCCAGGCTGTGCCACACCAGGGAGTTTATAGGCTTTGTATTCACAGAAGCAGGGATTGAGACAGAGATCAGGGCTCGTACTGTATCACTGCAGCCTTGTTGACCAGCACCATTACTGGCTGCCCTGAATAAACACTTGCATGTCTAATTTCCTGTCTCCGTCAGGCAGATGCATGAGTGCTTGGTGTTTCTACGTGACCTAGGATCATTTATTATCCACATGAAACTGATTAAAATAAGTGATAAGATAAGATAATGAGTGAACTGGTATCACTGAAAGTGAGTAATAAAGCAAGAAAAAATATGAATCATGGCCAAAAATAATTTTTTAAATTCTGTCCAAAATGGTTCGTGTGCTGTCTAGTTTCCTACGTCTGACACTTAGATATTTCAGATGAAAACAAAGTTTGACCAGTATGTTTTCTAAAAGCTCTAAAATGAATGTTGTGCGTGGGTATTTTTATGTTGTTAGTTGTAGCTTGTACTGAACTGCTTATCGCTGAAGAGTCTGCTTTGATTCACGCTCTGCTGTAGGTAAGGTTTCATGGTTTCGACCCCAGGCCTGGATTGGGAAACTGGGCTACGTGGACTCGTTCTGGCTCGGGGCTTTGCCTCCGTTGAGCACGGCTGAGGCACTGCGACTCTTGGTGGGTGTGCCGCTGCCAGAGCGGGAGAACTCTGTCAAGTCATGCAGGGATGGTTCTCGGTACATGGCCACTGTGGAGACACATCAGGTATGACAATCAGATAAAGTTTATTTTAGTTTAGAATATTGGACCAGTGTCGGTCTATTATTGACAGAAAAAAAAAAACAACAGTGCAATCACATTTTACCAAATGATCACTTAAAGATTTCTCTAAACCTGCTGATCACAGTTCAGCAAGTTAGGGCTGAAGAAATGGCAGGAAAAAAAGGGGGAAAGCTTCACAGCTTGACATTATAAATTCAAGAGTTGCTTGTGCTTTAGCTTTGCTGTGTGCGCAGCATCGGTTCAATCTGCATCTCAGCAAGTTGCTTTTCAGAAGAACTATCAGTAATCTGAGGTTCCCTGTCTTTGGTTTCAGGATGTTGTCAACCTTCCTTCTGCCTAGAATGCTACTTGATGTTCATTCCTAAGGGACTTTGTGGTTAAAACAGCAAACGTAGTCCATTCAGTCGCTTCACTCAGCACAGGCTCTTAGTGGCAGCAGCTCTGCAGAGAAAACCTTAGTCTTCATGTCTTACATTAATGGCAGAAAGTGCTGATGATTTAAGCAAGCCTCATTAATGACATGATTGTGCAGATACAACAGTGTGTGGCTGGTTTCAGGGTTGTGGCATCACCTCCAGCACAAGCACGAAGAATTTCTTTTCTCAAAGAAACCTCCTCTATAAGCATCTGCCTTGTTATTTGTCACATAAAGAACAGGCGCCACAGGCTACAGGCTTTCTTAATTAAAACTCTGAAAAAATTGTAAGGATTTTTTTTTCTTTTACAGTGCGAATGACACGAGCTGAACCGGACTCTTCTAAATGAAGTCAGACTGAGAGGCCGTGGGCTGAGACTTGCCGAGTGGAACCAGAGGAGAAGTGAGTAACGGCTGGAGGAGATGCCAGTGCCAGTGCAGAGGTAGCCTCCTAATTAGTGCCCTGCAACACCACTTCCTGAATCTTTATGAGCTGCTGAAACAAATTCTCCTTCAGTTATCTGACTCCTTGTCTCACATGCATTCACATTTGCATGCTTGCATTTCACAAGTATGATGTAGTATGAAGTATGATCAAAATAATATTGGGTTTATGGATGTAACAGAAAAAATGGTATATGCATTTAAATAAAATTTAAATTAAAATCTAAAATCTTCACATTTATAGTCAACTTGTGAAACTACAAAATATGTTTGGTAAGTATGTTTGACCGTCCTGCCTGCAGTCCAGATCTGTCTCCTATAAAAATGTTTGGTTCTGCTTGAATTGAAAAATAAGGCAATGTTGACAACTGAGCAGCTGAAGCCAGACATTGAATTCTACTTGCAAAACTGCAGCAATTGTTATTATAAATTTCAAACTTAAGTGTTTTCAACAAGTTACCTCGTCACCTTTATTGTTTTGGGATTTTTTTTGTGTATTGAATTTTGTAAAAACGCAGTTTGCCAACAATCATGTTACATTCTCTGTTTGGCCCCACATATAAAAAAATATTATTAGTTTAAAACCAAAGGTATGAAACTTTTACTTCTTGTCCAGCCTATTGATCCACATTCACTTTCTTGGTATTTTTCTCTCAGCACAGGGCAACAAAATTACTCTTTGGCTTCTGCCCTTAAGTGTGTTGGAGACCCCTGGTTGGTGTGTTAAATGGAATTGCCCTTAAGTGTGTTGGAGACCCCTGGATGGTGTGTTAAATGGAAGTGAAAAGCTATTACAGAGATCTCAGAGGGCAGACATGGATTTAATAAGATGTTGGCTGAAGGAGCTCCACCACTGAAGCAGGAAGAAGACAGAGATCAGGGAAGAAAAAAAAACAGGCTATAAATCCACCGGTGGGAAGGATGACAGTTGAAGAAAACTTTAGATTGCTTCCATCTATCATTAACACTGTCAAATAATAATAATAATAATAATAATTAAAAAGAAACTCAAATAAACTAAAAGTGCTTTATTACATTCCCCTACACTAACCTGAGTAACTGAAAATCTGCAGTAGCACAGTTTAATTCAGTGTTCAGCTGGATCAGCCTGTCTGCAGATTTGTCTCCTATTGAAAATATCCACCCCAGCACCAGGAGTGTCAGATAACAGTGACCATAGATTATTGAGTAGTCATTTATACACTACAGCAAATACAGCAGTAATCAATACTACACTTGATAAACTGCAACAGATAGAGTTCCAAATCATTAAACTAAAGTTCCTCTGTCTGATAATAGGAAAACCATTTTGACAGCTGGACAACACCATCCTACATTTTCCCTGTTACAGGTGTTTGGGGAATAATTTAATATAAAACTTTCTCAACAGCAAAGTCCACTGAGACTCTGAATAGACAAGTGCTATTTCAAATAAAAAAATATAGATTTTATTTGTAGGTAAAATAAAAAATGAGGGTTGGCATTGAACATATCTGGTTGTACTACAGTGTATCCAAGGCCACAGTGTTTGCGGTGACTTCTTCTACAGTGTTTATTCATGTCCATATTCTGGTTAGGAGAAGAGACTAAAATATAATATTAAATAACAAACATTCCAAGAAGATTATGGGCCAGTTTTGATAAAGATGGAAACCACTGTGGTGTTAGATTGAGTTTTTATTAAAGATTGACTACTTAAGATAAAGTATAATCCATTGACTGACTATGAATATAATCTGTGCTGTACTGTAATAACTGACAGACTTACCCTTTAGAGGTTTGGGAAGAAAATGAGCTGCTGGCTTGTTCTTCTTGACATGGTTTCCCTTCATGATTTCTCCCTCCTTGTTCAGACCGAGGTACCAGCCCCTGCCCGACTGCTGCTGCCGGTAGATCATGGAGGAGTATGTCACATAATAGTTCTCGAATACTGACTCCTTAAATTTGCACTCTGGCGTAAAGTGTTCCTGGGGGAAGAAAGCAGAGGCAGAGTGTAGTAGCTGTCGGACAACGATTCACAAAACCTCAAGTGTCTGCGACATGTAGTGGAAAAATAAAAAAAGTTGATGACTTGAGAGTGCAGTCTAATTATGGTGCGCTGAGCAGAGCTGTGAGAGAGATAAGGAGCTCAGTCTACGGCTTCAACGTCAACCACCAAATCTTTTCATTCCATTTAGTGTTGTGAATAATGCAGTGTTTTATAGCAAGGATAACGGCAGTGTGACAGATACAGAGGAGCATCAATAATACACAAGGCAAGATGAAGAAGACTTTATTCTCCATTAACTCCTCGCAGTTAATTATGAATGGGCAGTTCATGGTCTTCAGACTACTTCGTTGTTTTTACGATTGTGTTTGTCTTGATTTATTACATTTATTTGGCTTTGAGAAAAAGTAATCATAAAGTTTAGATAAAATATCTTTGGGTGGTCAAAAGGGATTTTCGTGCGTTAATATAAAAAAATTACCTTCACAGTACGATAATCACATTACTGTGAAATTAAGTGCCAGTGCAGTGACCTGCTGGGGTCCATACTGCATAACCTTTTACTTTGTAATCACTGCTGTGGGTGGCGCTGCTGCAGAGGGGAAACCAAGTTTTTAACATCCACATACTAGGAAAAGAATTTGATTAAAAAATTAATTTGTTTTTATGAGTGTCGCCCCCGAGTGGTGGCCTCAGCCACCCATAGAAAACGGCTGACCACACCCAGACTGAGCTGCTGAGGGACATGGACAAGTGTCTGGAGTTTTGAACAACTTTTGCTGGTGATGCTCAAAATATAGGTTTGAAAACTAAAGTGTGTCACCACCTGTTCAAGAGCAAAGGAAACGCAACATTTTTAGCTGTTGTTAAAAACATTCCCATGACTCCCATGTTGTTTAGAATATTTTAGTCCCATGTTAAGGACAGACAAGAGGTCAAAAAGTCCAAATAAATATATCACTACTAATCTGGCCAAGTTCGATTGTTTGTTTATTTTAAAGTTCAAATGATTGAGAGCATAGTTTTATGAATGCAGCCAACGAGACCCAGACCAAGCCTCCATCTCCACCCATTTGCCTACACACTTTGTTCAATGCCCTTCAGGACTGGAAAAAAAGTGAATCAGACACTTGAATGTTTCAATCAGAAGTAGCTTCAGTTTTTAGGCAGCACTTTTTTAAACAAAAGATTTGTCCTGTTTGAAAAGATAATCCTTTGTTGTTCATTTGTTTATTCATTTACAGCAGCACAGCCTGTACATTCCCTGGAGGACATCTCCAACCACGGTGGTTTACCTGTGTCCCAGAAAATAAACCTTATTTGAAACTCCACCACAGGTAAACCACAACTTCACACTTCCATGTGAGGGTTTGTGCTGAGTTGCAGAGGATGAAGTCAGAATGAGCCTCAGTTTTTGCTCCACTCTGTTTCATTTACTGTCCCATACAGGATCCTGGACCTAATGCTACCAAAGTGGCTGAGGTTTATTTCCCCTGAGGCAAAGTTGTGAGTGTGTGTGTGTGTGTGTGTGTTTGTCCAATTTACAGTTCTGCTTGAGCAGTGAATACTATTACCCCTGAGAGAGACCGAGGGACAGCAGCTGAGGGGAAAGGCAACTAAGGAGAAACAGAAAGGTAAAGCTGGTGAGCTGCTTTTTATTTTTTAAGTTTCTACCTGAGGCAGTGTTTGTAGATGAAACCACCGGAGCATTGTTGAAATAACCCATGGCTGTGGCTCTGAGTGGGCATAAGAGTGAGTGGAAGAATGAGTTTGGGGTCTTCAGGTTAAGCCCTATCGCAGGCTGAAAAGCACTTGTTTTTGTGGGAGTCGGTGGTCAGAGTGATGACGTGTGCTCGGGGCCAAAAGCTTCATCTGAGACTATGACAAACCTCATGCCATTACTAGACAGTGAGTCATCCTCCTTCTGTCTCTCTCCCTCTCTCTCTGCAACAGTTCAACAGCGTGGCTCCTAACGTGCGGCAATAACAAGGCTTCAAAAGATGAAATGAGTTTCATGTCTGGTGATGATGTGCTTCACTGTGCTGAGGAAGCGGTCGAATAAAAATAAGAGGAGCAAACGATGAAGGATCCGATAATGTTTCTCTCCTATTCCAGCTAATCCTGACTGAAGACAGAAAACTGACTTCACTGTAGTAACAGCAGACCTACGTTTGACATCCAATCAGCTGATGACTCCAGATAACAGACAGTCATCAGTCACATCATTAAAACTGATGCTGCTGAACTACTACAGTAACAGTTTAATCAGCAGTGATACAGTCTTTCTGTATTCAAACAGGTTAAAGACCGTTGAGTTTGAACACAACATCGATGTTTGGCACAAATACTTTATATTCAGCAGTTGTACTAGTAGTATATTGCTGTTGTCTGCATATTAGGAACGGCAGGGGATTTAAAACACTTTTCCAAGACAGACAGCAGTTTTCACATCTTTTCCTCCAAACTGTGAACAGCATGGACGCTTCCTTCGAACAGACTGCACAAACATCTCTCCTGACAAATCAGTGACACAGGTTATGCAATGTTTTGCAACACATACTTAAATAACTAGGCTTCCTGATTCAGCTACAACTGGTGACACCACATTTGGCCCATTTTGTGCTCAATATGAAACGAATTTCAGCTCAGTCTTTGTGGCTTAGAATACAGGGAACTATATATATATATATATATATGTAAATATATATATGTATATATATGTATAAATATATATATATGTAAATATATGTAAATATATATACAAAGTATATACAATGTACATATATATATATATATATATATATATATACATTGTATATATTTTTTTTTCAGTTTCAGTTCAACATTTTTCCTTAGAATTTAGGCTATTGTCTTATTGGGATTACACATGTCTCCACTTATTATAGACTGTCTATAGTCTACATTTTTCAAGTTCCACTATAAAGGACATGTGTTTCCTAATATAAAGTTTATTAGCTTTAATACTATAATATTTTAATAGCCTAATTGCTCAAATAAAGTTTTTTTCAAAGAATAAGCTGCTAAATTATTTTCAAATATATTTTGTAAAACATACGTACATTTAAAAATGTATATATATATATATGAGAGTTCAATTTAAAAGAAAGTTCAAGCAATAGTTTAACTCTACAGCAGATGGGTTTTTTCTGTCATTTCTATCATATTTAAATTTAAAAAACCACTAACTCAAGCACTTTTTTTTTTCTTTCTTCAGGACGTTGTGTATTTTAATACAGCTGAGAACAAGTGTAAGGTAAATATTAGTTCAATGAAGGCAGCCGTGCCAAGGAGAGACGCATGAATTATAAAACACCCAGGAAAGTATCTGCAGCTGAATGTTTCTTTTATCCAAACAAGAAGACCACTAGGAAGAACACTACTGTACTGGGATATTGTATCCATTTTCTGATTTTCCAAAGGACGAGCCAAACCGATGCTCTGCACAATGTTAAGACATCACTGAAACCACTGGCACCACCTCAGCGCTCTGGAGAATCACCAAAGCAGCACGGTGAAGTTAAATCCAACTTTTCTTTGCCCCAGTCTTTTGGAAGTGGATTAAAAACACACCTCTTCTTCCTTGGCTTGAGATAAACTACAGTCTTTGTTTATTGTGTGGTTATACATTGGAGAGCCTTAAGCTTGTGGACAAGTCCCTCTCTGACTGACACACACACACACACACACACAGTTAATAGTTAATGACACAGCTCAGTGGAGTGGAACCTTACAGCGGTAGTTATTTACCACAGCCACTGTGATTACTAAATGGTTGAAAAGCTACGGCTGTGTGGCTCAGCACTGCCTTCAAACGTAGACGCTTCAGTTAGGTCTTTATTTTATATTGGTGTTCAATTATAGAGTCAATAGGATTTTATTTGTTAGGGAACTTAATAGGAACGCAGCAGGTAAATATGCTGCTCTCTAAGAAGACCGTCGTGACAATCGTTACGGGCTAGATGTTTTCTACGCTCGATATTTCAAGTCGGAAATGAAATTTTTTTATTCTTTTCACCATAAAATTAATATATTTATACTGTTATAGTATAGTGTTTGTTACCAGTATATATACATATATTCATATATACATGAATGTATATATTAACTTTTTCTCTATATATGTATACATATATTTAGACATTAATGTATATTAATATAATTAATTAAGTAATAAAATTCTGACTCTTGCTTATTGAAGTTTTGCATTTTTATGACATTGTCCTTTAATTCCAAATACAACATATGAGTTATTTCTAAATCCAATGTAGAACATGTATTCTTCTTCCACATCTGTACTTTGTAACCACTGTTTGCACAGTCAATGAAAAAATGACTTAATGACAATAATCAATGAGTGTCTGGCTGTTTTGACTGAGGATAATAATTCTACCAACTGTTTTATTTTTTTTTTTTGTTTTTGTGGTTGTTTAAATCACAAAGCTTATTTTATACTAATGTTTAGATTTTCCTCAACTTCTGCAAAAGTAGAGGGTCAAACAGGAAAACACAGCATAGTAAAGTCAAATACATATTAATTGGTTCTTCCTCTCCCACACACGGATGCTGTTGGATGAATATATTTTCACTGGTGCTTTTTGCCTCACCCACACACGTACACTTTTCACTCCTCATCTCTCGTCGTCCCTTTCTCTCAGCGTCTGTTCTCCGCTCCTATATGTACAACGCTGTTTCACATACACCAGATGAAACTCAGTCCGAGTTCTAAAAGCCATTATTTTACACATTTCTATTTTCACTTTAACCTGCAGACCTAAGCAGCAGAATTTGATTTCCACTAAGCCCGAATACATGATTATTTGATTTGTTGTCTCCTCACTGTTGTCGACTTTGAATCTCTCTCTCATGCTGACTTGCTATTGGCTCAAGTTATGTGTGGTTTCAAGGCAGCACTTGGTTGTAACAGTGATTCTAGTGAAATACCCACTGTTTGGCTACAAGCAACACCACAGCTCCATTTTCTGAACTCAACTAAAACGAAAGCTGTGCAGTCGATCTCCCTCTGCTTCACTCCAAACTACAGTAACATAATCACAAGGTAGGGATATATGGAATTATATATGAAGGTACTTCATCTGTAGACCAGCTATATTTGAATTGACTGGTATGCTGAACAGAATGAAAAGGTGGGAGAATTAATTATAAATCACCTACTGCAATGAAACTGGGCCAAAGTCTTAATGTTTGTGCTGCGAAGGAAGTAACAATGTCTTTATATAATTACTCGTATAACTAAGATCAACAATCTTCAGCAAATTTCTCAAAAAATGTTATATGATATTTAATTATGTAAATAATAGTTTAATGGTAAAATGTTGGTCTTCAAAATTGTAAAAAAGTTTCAAATACACTACTGCTGAAACAATATAGGTTATTGTTGACACGTCAGTTATTAATGAAATTATTGTAATCCCTTTGAGGAATACTTTCTCCATTTTTAAAATAAGGTCAGTGAAAGCAGCACAGAAGTTTCCTGCCACCTGGTTCAGAATTATTTTAATGATTAGAAAGAGGTATATTTTAATAAAGGTACGTGAGTTCAACTCTGGCAGTTGATTTAAATAAGTGTCTGCCAGTGAAGTGAGCCACTGAGTGTTTACAAGAGGCTGAATTCAAGGAGACAAAACGAGACAAAGGTACTTTGGCCCTAAATGTTCATCACATTACTGCGTGACAGAGAGTCTGTCAGAAGATAACGAAGCATCGCTAATAGATTTAATTTTCTTGTCATCTTGTTTCGATCACTTATCATTAACCTGTCTCTCAGACCTTTACCATTCGCAACAATCTTTACTAATTTGACTAGAAGTTTCGTCTGACCGCCCTGCGGGCGAACATCTGATCAGCCTGTCAGTCTCCTCATGCCTGCCACACAAACAAAATGGTGGCATTTATGGAGGAAGACAAACACAAACGCCGTTGCTTCTGCAGCTGAATTATTCATGATGTTGCACATTTTCTCAAACCCCAGCTGTCATGGTTCGATACGCCACTGCTCCACCTGCTCACACAATCCTTGAACTATAATCGACACTGAATTGTAACGTGACGCACATCTGTCATCGCTGAGCTGTCGGCTGTCAGACTGAGTGGATCAACAAATGGATTTGGATATGGTGATATGTGGGAGAAAAGATCAAACTACTTTTTGGTATGTGTAACGGTAACGTGACCTGCCATAGGCAGAGAACATCAAAATTAAATAGTAAAAGTCAAATAAAAAAGTTCTGCTCTTCACTCATATGTTCGGCTCTTATTCTCTGCTCAGCCTTTCTCTAAGATTGCCTCCTCCTCATGTCCAAACCCCCGATCAGCAATGCAGCTTTTGTTCTCTATTGGTTTCCTTTAAAGTGTTTTATGAAACAAAATAAACAAAAAAAACTGAGGATCATAAATATCACTGATAAGAGTGTAAATATTCGTGGCGTTTTGCTTTTATCTCTTCTCTAATGATTACAAATGTAGCTCCCTCTCTTCCAATTATAGTAACTTTAGGTGTTAAGCATGTAACAGCGTTATGTGTTTACTACTCTGACAGTCTTCCTGCACCTATATTGTTACAAACAAAAACCTTAATACATTGCCATGCCAACAGTATCACCCTATATTGCAATATCTCATGTTGTTTCCCATGTATTGTGATGCGGATCGTATCACCAGCTTCTTGCTAATACACACTCCTAATCATTAGGTTCAACTTTTAACAGGAGGCACGGACAAAGGTGGAACTCACTGATGTGTAGAGGAAACCCTCACTGTTCATCGCCAGGTAAAGCTTGGTCTGCACCCCCTGGATGGCCACCACTCGCAGCCCCACTGGAATAAGGTTGAACATGGCTGAAAGAGAGGGAGAGCAGGCACAGAGAATTAGAACTGACATTTTAGTTCATTCTTCAGATTCTTCTAATGTAGAATCCATTAGTGAACATACACTGAGACAAAACACATCGCTGCCTCAAAGTCCCGTCTCTGCCTGCAGCTGTATGACATCCATTAGGAGAGAAATGTGCGTTCAGTGCCTCTGTTAGGACACAAGCGTGAGTCATCGGTACCTTACCACCAACAGGGGTGAGACGTTCACTCACGGAGTCAACTACTCTTCCTCAAGGTGTACGAGGAAACAAATAAACAAAAGCGGGCGTAAACACAGCAGCAGAGTTACAACTTTAGCATTCTATGAAGTTTACTTTGATAAATAGTAGTTACAAAAAATAAAACTGATCACCAATCACAGCATTATAAAGTTCTGATCTGTGCCTCATATTGATGTTTATACAGCATTATAAGAAAATGCTGATCTGTATATGATCTGTATTTGTAAAAAAAGAGAGGTTTGTGTGTGATGTCAATCATACTTCACAGTAATTAAATCAAAAATGATTCACATCAATTCACCGCAAACTGTCTGTTTAAGGATTTTGTCGCCTCACCAAACTCACGATATAAATAAAACAAAGTTTGCTGCTACTACTCTCCAATAGTGCAGTGCAGAGACTGATCGACTTCCTGCCAGATATTCATGCTTCCAAGTTACAGAAACATTTCTTGTAAGCATTGTTAAACTGGTCTTTTGGATACAGCGCTGGGGGCAGTGTTGGTAAATATATATATATATATATATATCTTCACTGTAGTAAACCAAAACTGTATGTAATCTTTGGATGTGTGAATAAAATGCTGACTTTTAAAGGTTTTAATCTTGTTATACTGTGGTACTGGTCTTTTTTACTGCACCCTGCTCACTCTGTTAGTCACTGATTTTTCTTCCTTATTTCTTTCTTTTTTTTTTTTTTCTTTCTCAGTCCTCACCACGAAGCACACGTACACTCCTCCAGAATACTTCATTTCAGGAGGATTACCAGCCGGTGTACTGATGGAGGTTCTTAAGAGGGGAAACTCAATTACTTCCTGCCTGCTATAAACACCTGAGCACACAGAAGGGCCACCCACTCACTGACTTCACTGGTGCAGAAAGGCACACGGAAAAAAACAAGAGGTCGGAAGGACAGTTTCTACATTGATAGTGAGCCGTTTTCTCTTGTTATTCTAAAACCTGACTGATACTGGGAATTGCTAAACACATTTAAACTTTTATAACGCTGTTTTTATTTATTTCTCAAAGCAGACGCATTAAGTCTCCGTATGACAGCGTACATACTGTATGAATACTGGAGCAGAAAAATAAGCTGCAGTAAGTGACAACTCTGCATTGCACTTCTGTGTCCTCCTGGTAAAAAACAGTGAAAACTGGGCTACTTTGAGACAAATGTTGGGCTGAAAAAGTGTCTGTAAATAATGCAAGACACTGGTATTAAAGCACATAGCCGTTCTTTTCAGCTGCAGTACAGCACACGTGTATAGCTGCTGGGTTACGGAATCATTTGAAGAACAGTAATCAGTAGAATGGGGGGGGAACATACACATTTCAAAGCAAACTTTTTGACCTCATCAATAAAGTCAAACACTTCCTCCTGGATTTTGGTAGAATATTTGCCAAAGAAGTCCAAATGGATTTTCTCTCACACAGATGTGATGTAATCCAAAAACATGATTGTATGAATTAGAAGGGAAAATCACACCCGAGTTTGAGACTTTCAGTTATCTCCAACATTGCTTCCCAGCAGAATGAAAATGTCACATTAATATCAAGACTCTTTCACTATTGACAACAAACATCTCCAGCTGCCACTAACATCGACCCGTGTGTGGTCATATGATTAGATCCTCTCTTCTCTACCACCGTCGTAAGACACCAGTAGCTCCAAGAGGACTGTGCTCTCTGTCACCATGGAGACAAGTGCACCCATCGCCTAACAACGCTATTTTTGGAGCAGCGCAAAGCGCTTCTTCTTCTTTTTCTTGTTTTCTCTTTTCTTCTTTATCTTAGGAAGTACTCTTATATCACATCACATCTCAATTCTGTTTTTGTTTTTTTTAGTTACAGTACAGTCTAGTTGTTTATCAAGTCCACAGAACAAAGTAAAGACATGGAGTATCAAATGAAGTGTTTTCTGTGTGTGTCCTAACTGCACCATTTTATTTTTTTTACTTTTTAATTTTATTGGTGTTGTTTTCTAAGTGTTGTTGTTTCTCTTGAAGATCAACTCCTCCTGTGAAGGGCTGCTGTTTTTAACACAGCGTCTCCACCCAGGGACTAATGGAAATAAAGAGGCACTGATTCAGAGGCAGAGAGTTCATATCTGCTTAGCAGTGGGATTAGTGCGAGACATGAAAGCTGTTACAGCACAGAAAGTACAATTTGTTTATTTGTTGAGGTTTAAGTGGGTTTGTGTTACTTTTATCAACTAGACTAAGCATCTGTCTGTATGGGTTTATGACCAGTAGCAGGGCTGTTAATGTTGTATTCATCCCCTCTTTAATTGTAACATTGGACAAGTGTGTGAAACCGTCATGATGAAGATGCGTCAATACGCAGCATAGGCCACTCAAAAACTCAAAAACAGAACGAGGAGGTCCACTGGTGACATCATCATCGTCATCATCAGCACTGTTTATATTATCATCATCATCGCCATCATCATTATAGTCACCAACATCATCATCATCATCATCATATTGGTCATCATCATCACCATCACTGTCATCATCACCATCACTGTCATCATCATCATCACCATCATCAGTAGCATTACCATCGGTGCTCATGTTATTCCAGTACACCTTGTGTACCCAGAGGCAGTAAGGTAGTGTGAAGTGTCTACAGACCTAACTGCAAATGTTTTGACAGCAGCCAATGAAAAAGAGAGTGTAGGAAGACGTCAAGAAGTAGATGAGAATATGAATTAATCCACTGTGACAAGAATTACGGGAAGAGAACAGTCAGAGTGAAACCAGACCAGAGGAATTTAGGAGACTGATCAAGCTGTGCAACAAGCACCACGGGCTGAACAACGTTACAGTGGAAACATCACAAAGTTTGTGTAAGAGTTTGGTGAGTGCATTAGGTTTTAGCTCGTCTGACTCATGTGTCTCGTGTCGACTGTGATCCTTCATCAGACCAGGTAAAGTGTGGGATCCAGACGGGGGCACATTAAACAAACCAATCAGCTGCTGATTTATACAGATGGCCATTAATCTATGGCTGGTGATTAGATTTCAACATATTAGATTTAAACCTACTGTAACCATTGTCCTCCTCCTTCGTCCCATCAATGGTTCCATCCGCCTGCAGCTGCAGGTGAAAGCCTTGTCGACTGTACAGCTTTGTCACGATCCCCTTCAGCTGGGGCTCTGTGAAGGGAGAAGAGAAAACAAAGAAGCGACAGGAATAAGTTAATTAGCTGTACAACATGTGAACCTGCAAATGCGTCGTCTCCTGTGCTCCCTGAAGAGAGACGTTAGCGCCTCAGTTTGACGCCTGCTGCCGTTTCCTACAGCCGTATAATCTAATTTTAGACAAAGACAAATACAAAGGTGTAGAGCGGAGCCAGGAGACCAGGTTAGGGAGATAAAGACTAATAAGAAGGAAAAAATTCATATGGAGCATAAAATCGATACATCTACTACTGTGACTAAGTCCTTATGTGAAAAGTCTAACGTGCAACCATACGGGCTGAAGCTAAAATTAAGTCACTAACAAAGTCGTAAATAACTGATGCTTTCAATTTCAACAAAAACTAAAAATTAAAAAAACTCTAATTGTTATTATAACACCAACTATCTGAAGGTCTGGACAATACGTTAAAGTGGGGGAGCGTTTACTGAAGGAATAGACGGCCTGTCTGTGTAACTGATAAGAGCTCAGTGCTGTCTTTAGTGTTAGTGTCCCTGGTGGAGTGTCCTTTACTGCGGTTTACCACACCTCTCAGCTCTCCCTTTATCTCTCTTATCTTTCAGTGTGCTGACATTTCTATCATTATTCATTCCATGCTGCAGCTATAAATATGGATATTAATATTGGCACAGTGCAGAAATAAACAAACTCCCGTACAATGTAGTAAACACACACACACACACACACACACACAAAAGAGCCATATTTCATTAGTTAGACTTCACCGTCGCTCCAACATTTTTGGTCCATGTATTAGAAGTACCTATGTTTACTAGAGTATACAGACATGTAATTCACAAACATTATTCAAATACAGCATGACTGGTCATGGTGATACTTCTCACTAAAGCATAGAAAAAGTAACTGAACTTAAAGGTTGTACAAAAGCAAAAAAAAATTATATATATATATATAAAAGCTGAGCATTTTTAAAAAATACTGTACTGTAGGAATTCAATATCTAAGAAAAGAGAAAATTTGGAAGATGTTGGTAATGTTTGACAAAATACAGTGTTCAACAGCTGAAGACCGTGGAGCTGGAACGTTTGGCAAACACCAGGGAGCAAAGGAAGACTTTAGGGCCAAGTATCTGATCAGAGAGAAAATTATGTGTGTTTTTTTTTTGTAAAAGTCTGTGTACTCAGGAAAGTCACAAAAGATGTATTTTACAGTATTCTGTTTCACCAGCTTCAATGCACTAATGTTTTTTTAAACTTCCTTGATTAACGTCATTGTTCTTTTTCAATCAAATTTAAATATTCTGATGCACCAATGCTGCGTCTATGCTCCTGTTTGGATGATAAAGAAGGGTTTGTAATTAAATTTAAAAAAAATACCACAGCGTGACCAAACTGCAGAACAGACCTGGTCGTCTCCTTCGTCTCTTCTTGGAACCAAAGAGTTTGACCCGTGAGAAAACGTTGAGTCGACTTGGTTTTTCACAACCACCTTTGGTTTTATTGGGGCTGCTCACGCAGCGACAGGCATTAGATTTCTCCCGCTCCCTCGCCTGCCTCTTCTGCCTTATGAGGGAGCTGGCGATCGCTGCTGCCATAGCCAGTTTGGCGGCGCTTTGGTGAAAACTTGGATAAAAAGAATCAGTTCCTTTGAATCCAGATGACTGGATCCAAGAGAGCGGCTGTCCAACCGCGGAGGCAACAATCTAAGGCAACTAGGAATTGTTAAATATCAACCATAAAACTGTGAAGATAGACGAACCAACAGCCCTAGCAGCGCGGAGAAGAACGTTAAATAAAGTCCACCT